ATGCCTGGAACACCAGGGCTGTAATCCACATGCTTTTTGCAACTCAAGCTTCTTTTTCCCTTGCTTTCTGCCCTAAAAATGGGAAAAGAGATGCTTGGCTCTCAACCATTTCACTCCTGTATTAGAAAATCTGGGTATTACAAAGGAAGCTGCTCCTGTAGCTCCACAGTACTTTAAACCAGAGTAAGTCGGCACCACTAGTTTAAAGAAACAGACCCATCTCTCCTACCCTTTGTTTCCTCACATTCCTGATGATTTTCTCCCTTACGTCAGCACAAGTATTTCTGCAGCCACATAGTGAATTAGATCAGAAAATGTATGGTCCACCTGGATTAGTTTCAATACAAATTATTTTTCTAACACGGTTTGTGACACAGCCCCACAAACATTTGGGCCAACACAGGGAAGCTGCAACAATAGCCACACAGGACAGCTTCTTTTGGCAGTACTGCAATCTTAAAGCTTCCCTTGGCAAAGCCACCAGCAACAACAAACTTGGAAGTTAAGCTTTTTAACAGTACTTGCAAGCAGCTTAAAAAACCAAAACCAAACCACACACAAGAACAAAACACAAAAAAACACACAAACAAGAAAACCACCCCCAAACAACCAAACCTTAACACAGAAGCATAGACATTTTTAAAAAACGGGTAGTCCACTACCTGTCAGATACTGAGTCACATTCATGACCAAAGAGGGAGTCAAGAAAAGTTTCTTAATGACATAACAGCAGGATCTTTGGGTGTCTTAAATCAGTCTCAGCCAGCAAGTGTGACCATCAAACAAAAACAAGATACACAACAATCAGGCTTATCCCACCACAAGCAACAAAATAATGAAGAAGTAAATGTCACTGTTAGCATTTGCTATGTTTAAAAGAAAAATGAAGGACAAAAAATTGTTACCGATTCCTTTTAAACATCATTGTTAAGAGTCTTTACTGCACCACTGATGTTAAAGTTTTCTCAGAGTACACAGGCTGCAGATGCAACATATCTGTTAAGCCATTTTAAAGATTCTACACCACGTGGAAGTTTTTGAAGACATTTTAGGACAGACATCCCCACTTACACTAGCAAAACACTGCTTCCTCTCAGCTTCCTTATTTTAGCTATCCTTCATTTATAGTTATTTAGTAGTCTACATTTCTCTTGCTTAAGCATTACTTGAAAGCTCCCAGGAAGCTTTAAGTCAAAATCTTGCTAAAGTAATTCACAAGCTGTTGCCAAAATGCATTTTCATTCAGAGATTCAAGCTTCAAAAGAAATGAGGATTATACAACCAGGACAAAACAAAAAGGGATCGGACAGTCTTCAAGAAATCCCACTGAATTTGTAATATTCTCTCATAACACATACACTGAATTCAAGAAAGCCAGTCTTATTGAGACAGTAGTATGTGTCATCTATTTAGTGCTTGTACATCTGCCATGACCTCTTATCCATTCTTTACCTCCCCCCCTTTTATTTTTTAATACCCACAAACTTAACAGCAGCACATCACAAATAAGAATAGAACGCATTTCATTAGCGACTGTAAACCCATATCGCTCAGCTCATCAATGACTAGAATCCTACAAATACTAAAATACCATAGCAAATTTGCCCAAACTATCTTGGAATGTACAAATAAGAGCTGGGAAGTGTATTTTCCCCCTAGGGAAGTGTATTTTCCCCCTATTTTATAGGCTTGCCATATAGTATTGTCTTCATAATATCCACACAGTTACAAAGACAGAACAGACCCATGTAAGAATCACAGCATGAAAAGTCAACTAGAACAGTAAAACATACAAAGGTCTTTTTTCCCAATTCATTAATTTCTTAATTTGCAAATATTTTATACTGTTTTCTATAAAGTCAAAAACCAGCATCCTAGTAACAGTAAAATCAACTCTGCAAAACCATCATATGATTGGTAGTGGTTCTTTTATGTAATACTATTGGCAAACAAAGCATGTTTCTCCTCTAACTAAAAACACAGAAATCAAAGTGACTATTTCTAAGAATTTTGTCAATACACAGAAAGCAATTAGCATGCTTTTGGAAACACATTGTTTTGGATAGCCATTCTTGTTATTTTTTTGTGTTTTAAACACTGTGTTTTCATATGTCCTTACACAGTGGTTTCCACAATCTCTTTGCAATAAATTCTGAGCGTGCTGCTGCAGAAAAGGCTGTCTTTCCTCCCTCGTTTGTTCCAAGAGTGATATTCATATAGGTGCTTCGTGAGCTGGAGCAGTGAACTGATCCAGAAGAAAACTACTCTGGATGAAAAGACAGAGCTGACTTTTCAGCCACACCACCTCCCAGATCCCATTTACCACAAGGCTGCATGGAGGCCAGTGCCAGCACAATGAACAAGAGAGCAACGCGCTTTTTCAGAATACCTTTGGGAGAAACTCTCACACAGATAAACTGAATACAGTTGTAACCCAAAGGCTTACTTTCTTCAGTAGTTTCCTTCACCTATCTCCACTACTTGTAAACAAATCCCAAATGTTCTCTGGCATTCCTCAAACCCCCACACCACAATCTCTCCTTGACAACCAGCCTGAATCTAATCCATCCAAATACCTGCACCCTAGCTCCAAACAACAGCTGCCTGCCGACCCTTTCTAAATTCCTACAACCACTCCAAGTTTTCTGCATCCCCAGTGGCAACAGGCCCTTCCCCATGGTACATGCTCCCCCCCATTTCCCCCTTCCCCCAAGAAAGATTCCCTCAGCCACAGCCCTCACCTGACGAATTGCTCCTTACAGGCAGGTCCACTAAAGCCTTGCTCAAGCCATGCAGCCAGTGCTCAGGAGAGAGGCAGTCACGCCCCAAGTACTGATATATATATAACACATTAAACCTCTTCCTGCCATTCAGCACAGCCTGTCAGTCAACATCAAAAGGGATGGGTGGGAGGAAGCAATTCCTACCGTCCCTGCCACAAGAAGCTGCATGCTTGGAGGGCACCTCGAAGCCAGAGCCTTTACCCCTTCTTATTTTCCCCACTTTTGTCTAAAGCAATGAGATTATCAGAGAGGGGAAAGAGGAGGGAGGAGGAGAAAGACAACAGCTAGACAGCTTTCCTGGAACCCCACGCTATTTAATCAATCCTTCCCACACTGAGAGCAACTATTCTAAGGGATGTTTTTATACATTTATAATAAACCGACCATTACTCAAGCAGTGACTACTTGCAGTGTCAAGAACTCCTTTGTCTTCCATGCCCCCGGGTCTTTCCGTAGCAAAATTTAACTGCTACTGTTAAATTGTAAAACTTTGATCTCACAGATAAACAAGTGACAAGTTGTACTGACTTGGTAAAGGATCACCATGACACACGAAACAAGAATCTGATTTTCATAAGAAAATTAAAGGCAAAAAGTAGGGGGTTTACAAAGCAAACGAGAAATAGAGGACAAGATCCTGCAAAGGTTGTATACTACAGTATGATCAACACCGGGAACAGAACAGCCCCTTTCAGCAAGGCTCATAAAACCCACCCCAGCTCCTCACCGGCTTTTGCGGGCATTTCTAAACAGGGCAGTTAACGCGCGGGGAGGCAAGCAGGAGCAGAGTATTTAAGGCACAAGCACTGGAACCGCAGTCATGCCCGAAGGGAAGTTCCTCCAACGAGCGTAAAGGCTGATCCAATACCGGGAAGCATCCTTTCACCCCAGCACCGTTTCCCTCCTTACAGTCACACCCGCGAGGATAACGGGGAAATCTTATTTTCCTGTAACCAGTGCTGCATGGCGATTCCCTCAGGCCTAGCTCCCACAGGGAGGGCGGAAAGGCTGCAAACGCAGGTCGGCGGGGTGGAGGC